GGTGAGAGCAGTGAAGAATCAAAAGGCTAGAGTGGAGAAAACTGTAGTCTCAGGAGCGGTTGAGCGAGTGTAACCTTGCTTTGGGCAGCTCAGGGGGACGCATGGGCGAATTTTGATGAGATTGTGAAATTTAAAAGTGAACTCAAAAGTCCGTGGAAGTTCAAGTACATTGTCCTTGTGTCTGAAACGTGTGTGTTGATCAGCAGCCTGGTTCAGTGGCTGTGAATCTGAAAATGGGCTTAATAGTGAATTACCACTTTAATATTACAAACAAGCCATTATTTCACCCCCAGGTTATAAATGAATGCTAAACAAAATGAGAGTGAAAACTATATTAGAGTTCAATGTAAATGTTTCTAAAAAAACACACTACTACTGACAGGCTGGCAGTGTTTTATGATTTTGTTAATGTCACCAGATCCCATTAAAAGCCCAAAATGAACAATGATGTGATCCTACTAAGTATTATCTGATATATCTTATACCTCTGTGCCATAAAGCGCCATTGTTGTTCAAAAACAATTAAAAACACATCAATAAGCCACATTGTCGCACTGGGTGACATGCTCCTTAATTACCATTAACACACACCTACACACACGTTTGTTTTGCCCCACATACACCATTCTGCTGCTGTAGACACTCACTTTGAGTTTTCCCAGTGTCCCCATGTATCCTTATCCAAAGAGCACCTGAAACAAACTTCAAAACATTTTCTGATACCCTTACTTCTTATTGCACCTCCTGGGGACTCTAGACACTCCTGATAGACTTGTGTTTGTTGCCTTCATTGGTTTGGTTGGTTAGGTTTAGGCATGAGCAGTGACATGATTAGAGATAGAGGGGAAAAAAAGTCAGAGGGGGCAGATCTTCGCAGAATACAGATGAGAAAAGATGTGTCTTTGTGTAAACACAGCTAGCTAGAGGCTGAGAAAACAGTGCTGGAAATGTCCTTGTTAAAATTGGAATTAGGGTACTGGCTCAATTTTTTAAATCTAATTCAGACACTGACCAGTAACAAAGTCCATGAGCTTGTGTGTCTGTCCTTTTGTATGTGTGTGAAGCAGCCATCCGAGGTCTGGCACACTACTGCATTTGAAAACAGAGAGTGATTAGTCAATAAGCAGTGCCAATCAACTCACCTGGCACTGCTCTCCACACCATCTCTCGCCCTCCTGCAGCTGAATGTTAACCACTCCCACCTCCACAATGCTTTGCAAAAGAAAAACCTTTGTGCTCCTAAAAGCTTCTTTGCAACACGAGTAACATGAATCCAAAACTGAACTCGAGAAGTGTGGACCCCTCCTGTCCACACTGTAATGTAGTCACAAGTTGTTATGTTCATGTTAGACAGGACTTGCATTATCACAACTGCCAGTAAGGTTTAGTTGGTAGAGCAATCTCCAGAACTGCTGGGGTTAGCTGTTAGTTTTCCATTTCTAAATCTAAAATAAAATGTATGAAATCATGGTGCTGTCAGGTGCCTGGGATAAAAGCATCAGCATAACAGCATATGCTCTTTGGGGAACCCCTCGTGTTTATATAAGACTGGGCCTGTCTTCATGTGTCTCTGAGGCCATAAAATATAGCAATACTGAGTAGATAAGTGGATAAGATCCCTCCCATGAGGCTGTATTGTACTTTTTAAAAGGAGTACTCTAGAAATGTATTATTACACTACAAAGTTGGGAGATCTGCCAGAGATAGATTCTCATTACACGACTACTAACAATAAATATCAATGATAGTGATAATTATATGAAGGAGAATAAAATACTTTACTCATGTAGCAGTTTTAACACAAATGACAAAGTGCTATCATCCTATCATTTGCCACTCTTGCTTCAGATCTTCCACAGCCAGACAGAAATCACAATACCAAGTTATTTTAACACTTATTTATAGATGTGTCATACATTTATTTATTCACTTACTTTTCCTTTTAGCCAGCACACAGATGTACTTTAAGTAGAATAAAAGCCTGGCACTGAGCTTTTAAATATTTTCTGAATAACGGCCTTGTGATCTCTCTAATTACAGAACCTTCTGAGCATTTGAATGACTAAATGGGAATATCAGAAAATCTGCAAAGACATTTCAATATTGATATTGTCTTTAAAACTAGATGACTACATACACTGTTGCAAGTTTGATATTTGATTTGATATTAAATACATCCAGTGAGACTTATTTCTTGCTGTGATGAAACAGGTGTGGGTATATATTTCCAGAGAACTGATGATTTCTGCCAACCCTGAGGTAGTGTTTATCGTCTATTTTTTAATTGGCCTTTAGCGATTTGTTTTACATGACAAGTATTTGGATGTGGCTTTGGTGCCGTTGCAATCAAAGAGACATAATCTCCGTTCACCCTATAAAATAGTCATGTTTGAATTTTATGGAACAAAAATAAAAAAATTAGGGAAAGTTATTTCTCAAAGTGGAAAAACATTGAAATATATGAAGGGGAAAAAACATCTCCACAGCCCTCGAATTTGCCCTTGACTTTAAGCATAGTGCCAGTCTGATTAGGGTTTTGTTAAACTGTATCACTTGTGTCAAATCTCAGATACCCCTCGACATGCTGACTGTAATTAGTTCCAAGATTAATCCGCGCAAGCATGGTCAAATGTGGTCTTCTCCCACAATGCTTGTGAAATAAAGGCTAGCACGGATAATCAAATAATAGGTGAATATCAATGAATGGACCAAATCACTTTAGTCCCCAGCTCCCTTATGCAATTATTTCCTATTCACATTAATTATTGCTAACAGATGACACTAATGACTTTGAGAGGAAGCTGGCCATGCAAACGATCGATGCTATTTTAAATGGGGTCACAGCACTTGACACCTTTGGGCCCCTATGATTGGAAATGGCACCGATGCAAACAGCATCTGCAGCATGCCAGTGTATAGTGCCAGCAGTTCCTATTAACAGACTTGGCCTTAAGACCCACATCTTTCACAGATAAGTGGACCTGAAGACATTGAACACTGGTCTTTTCTAGTAGATAATTCTGACTTAAGCACATTTTCAGTACATGTTCATATCTTTCTTATCAAAATCTAAAAGTAGATTGATTGATTGAGTCCATACTTTACCCTGTGTAATAATCAAAGATGTCATTTTCATTTCATCAACACTTGTCCAGTGTGTAACATTTAGGAGGATCTGTTGGCAGTAATTAAATATAATATTCGTAGATATGTTTTCATTAGTGTATAATCGCCTGGACTTTTAAGGCTTTGTTGGCACTAATTGTGGTTTCCATTAGTCCGAAGTCGGAGCTGGGAATGACATCACATCCGAGTTGACCAAGTTCTTGTACAACAAGTCGCAATACCAAACTCTAGCCAAGTTAGCAATACCAGGTGTTAACAACGGATTACACTTTATTTTGCTCATACAAACAGACAGAAGTTTGACATTAACGTCTTTGGCTGATTTAATAAGACAAAAAAGAGCTAAGTGCTAAGTTTTCACTTAGTGAGGTCTTTTTTTAGTTAGAAATCTGATTTCAGGGAGCATTACAGTTGTAATTTCTGACTTGGAACTCGGAAATTCTGACTTCAAACGCATTGCACAATAATCATTCATACTTAGAGAGAACAGACACATTTATTTTCTGACACACTTCCACTTCACTTACCAGCAAATCTGTTTTGTTAATAAGGACTTTCCAGTTTCTACTTGCATCACTAAAATAATAAAACATTACAAATACATTAATAAAGTATGACAATATAACCATAGATGAGATCAGTGTCATGTCAAGTTTAATGAATATTATATTAAAGTATCACTTTTACAACAAAGACAGGGTTACAAATAACCCATTCCACTTACACTGGTACCGTCAGTTCTGAATAATTCAACCACAGAATATGAGAAAAATGTCCACTCTTTGTCACTACAGGAAACTGCTGCATCTGTGCCATCAGACATAAAACTGGGGAGTCTAGTCCAAAATAAAATGTATGCAGGGAAAGTCTTGTCAAGGCTTTTAACAATCCTTTTTAAAGCTACCTCTGCCATCACGTCTTTACCTTTTAATACAAGTATTTTACATCAGACATTGTTAGAGAAAATATTCTGTGGTATCTAGTTTCTCCAAATTCTGAGTTATACTTTTGCCTGCTATTACACAAACTATTTAATCAAGAGGCTTACAATGCACTTTTCTTTCCTCTGTCACAATGAACAGGCACAGTCTGTACACATGGCTGCTTTGGTATTCACAGAAAACTGTTCTTTTTCAGCATGCTTTCAAAAGACTCCAGCCAGTAAAAGATATTAATAAGAATAATCTGAGACATAGAAACACTATGTGAATGTTAATTTTGGTTCCTTTTTGTGGACTCTAAACAACAAAAGAGCATCTTCATTTAACACCCACTAGTCATAGTGCAGTTATGTTTGGATTATGATTGAACAACAGACACCAAGAGGCTCCATTCTCAGAGAATAGTCTTCCTCCTTAAAATGTCTCATTGACCAACTCCCAAAGTAATCATGATAGGTACACTTGAGAGACCAGAGAAACATGAAAACACATTGTATTTTACAATGGGATCTATCTAATTAGTGGAGTGGAAAATGTTATTCCATTCTTCTATTAGCCGTTGGTTGGAAAGAGACATCTATGTATCCAGAATATTGATTGTTTGAGATCTGTGACAATGACAAATGGAGAGCCATGGGGCATTTTCATAGGTTGCGTATATCATCTGCAAAGGGAATCTATTGAATATAATGTCAGAGATTAGGTGGATGAACAAAGTTGAGTTAATTTGTGCGAATGTGAGCCATAATTACAATATTTGTCAGTACTAATAAATTAAATCGTCTATCCTATAAATATGTCTCTTGTCAAAGCAGTCTTAATCTGCAAGGATGACTTTTGTAATTTACTGGACTGTTTTCATAATTAGTTTTTGCTTCCTTATAGTGTTCAATTAATTTCTGCTGATTGATTACATAATTAATTACTTTCCAGGAGGTCCAAAGGAATGGAAAAGCAGGTATTCCTGCAGGAAGGTGGCCCAGCCTGCTGAGTCTAACATGCCCACGCAGTAGTGGTAGCGGCAGTGGCAGTGAACTGTCACTATCCAGTGCTTGTAGTGAGTACTCAAGTGGCTCCCACACTTGGGCTGAGGGACGTGGATGCTCCAAGCAGGTGGGTTTTTTAACTTTTGTTTAACTTGCTTCAATTTTAAGTATAAGTTATCAAAGTAAAGGGATCTTGAGTTAAAACAAGTAATCCATCTATAGATGCCATTTCAATAATTGCAAATATCTCTTATAATGCAGTGCGCTGCAAGCCGAGACAAAAGGATGAGCGCAGGTTCAGTATCCAGCAATCATTCTGCACCCATCGAGCAAACAGACCTGGGATGGAAGGAAGGCCACATTCTGAAAGGTCTGAAGCGTCTCCAAATGTGCAGCTCCAAAGACGCATCCTCACATGCATCTGTACCACACTGCAAAGATTGTATGACCTCCAATGAGGGCATATACTCACTTGGTGTCAAGTGTGGCTTACAAGGGAGTACAGCCAAGCAAGTAGCCCCTACAAGTAAACCTTTCAAGGCCGGTGTAGGAATTGCTGCCCTAGACTCTGATGATGCATATGAAGATTCATCTAAATTACAAAGTAAGGAATCCATTGAACAACCAACAAAAGAGCTTCTTTGCTTGGAGAAACTGGATGTCACAAGGGATGATGACAACAATTTTCAAGAAGACCCTGAAAAACTTGCAGGGAATTCTGGTGTTTTTCCCTCACCTGTCACAGACAACTTCTTATTTTTGGAGGGCCCCACAGTAAAACCTAGGGCAAGCCCAACAGATAGCCTTATACATCTGGAAGAAAAAAACAAAGACTCACTAGAAAAACACAAGACTTCAGGTATGAAGCTAAGTGATAGAAACAATAACCAGGAAAGGTCTACTGACCGTAAATCCAGACTTGATCATGTCAAAAGACAACAAGGTAGACTTACAGTCAAGCAAGTCGAAGCAGGGACAAGTGATATGAGCTCTTCTATTCAGAATTGTGCAACAAGAGCTTTGAGCTGTGTGAGTGTAGCCAGACAACGCAGCTCCTCAATGGAGGTTCCCCACTGCAGAGACCAGGCATGTCAAGCTGGCAGTGAAAGTCAGCACTACACCATCTCAGAATTCCCACAGAGGAAACCGAAACCTCAGCCTTGTGAGTCAGCAAGAAAGGCTTTCATTTTGCGAAGCAAGAGTGCAGATGCAGGACAAGAACAACATAAGCATACACATTCTCCTCTGCACCAAAAGCTTATTAAGGGTCAAAGGTCCAAAGGACAGTCAAACCCTCCGGGGCACAGTGTTCCTAGCAAAAGGACAAATCTCAGTAAAACAGAAGGTTCAAGCAAGGGAGCATTATCTGAAGTTGAGAAAGATAAGGACATTCCAGTATCAACAAGTTCCAAGTCTTTCAAGAGTGTACAACAGCGCTCTCCCCTTGCCTCCCCTGTGAAGCATTCAAAGTCATTTAAATCTCCAGGGATCAATGAATGTTTAAAGAGCCCAACAAAATCCCCATTACAAATGACTAGACTTAAATCAAGCAGTGACTCTGTGGAAGAGAGCATCTATGACAACTTACCTTGCTCTCCACGTAAACAACGACGCCAAGACCAGCACTGTGATATTTCCCGTTCAGAAATTAGGTCCCCATCCCCACCACCACTCCCAGGTCGAACAACTTCTCTTCTTCTGAGACCCAGTTGCGACAGCTTACCCAAAGCACATAAATCTGCAGGACAGGCTCAAAGCTCCACTACTGGGAAGATACCATCAAGCACCACCAAGCCACAGTCAAATCAGCTTTCTCCTATTTTACAGCCACAACAATCTAACACAACAAAAGACAATCAACAAACAGCCCCACAAATAGGTGCTGAAGGTAAGCCACAGAAAGATTTCCCTGCCAAGGTCTACCATACCCACTCATCCAAGATACCACCTGTCCCAGTTCAAGAGTCACAAGCTCCAGAGTCAGTCCAGTTATCTATGGACAGATCTGCCATGTGCCATGATGAGAATGGTGCCTCCTCTATATTGCCAAGCCAGAGCATCTTACAAAGATCCCAACAAAGTATTAGTGAGCCAAAACTTTCAGAAGTCTTGCCTCATACATATTCTAATGTTTACTATCATGGGATTGCCAATAATCTTCAGAGTTCAAGAGCTGTAAAAATGGCTCTTCCTATAAATGCTAAATCTCATGAGGCAATCTCTGGACAGGAAAACAGTACCTTCCTAGTTTTTGGAAGACAGAACAAAGATGATACAAACCCTACTACGAAAAGTGTCCAGACCTTTCAGACTTTTACATGTGATCCCCAGATGATACATGAACGTAGTGCTAATGACAAAGCCCGCAGAAAGATTGAGACCCGCTGTAACTCACTGGATTCTGAGCCCACTGTTCAACCTGTACCATCAGACAGCGGAGTGATGTTAGATTGGGGATTTGATGAGGAAGGTTGGCTGTTTAAACGGTCTGTGTCTGTGTCAACTAGACCTCCCCTTAAGCCAGTAATGGGCATGAATGGGGCCAAGGCTCGTAGCCAGAGTTTTGGTGCACGCTACATGGACAGGCCAAGTTTCAACAGATCTGGAAAGGTCCGTACCCAGATCAAAACACACTCAGGGAGCTCCTTGAACTCTCTTAGTGATGTCCTTCCAGGAAGTATGAGTTGCTCCAGTAGCTACCATTGCCCAATGAATCGATCCCTTTTGAACAACTTCATGATTGAAGAGGGCCTGACAGTTCCCTCACATCTGGGATCCTCCAGTGAAAGACTTCAAAGTCTTAAACAACAACGAGAGCAGGCTAGGCGCCTTCAGATTGAGCAACAGTTTTCAAGTGCATTTGGTGAGCCAGTTTCTGAAGAACCAGAGAGACAAAGTACTATAACCACAATTGAAGAGAAAGTGATGCTTGGAATAGAGGAGAACTTGCACAAGACTCAGGAACAGGAGAGAACCATTGAAGTGAAACAAAAATCTGGCTCAACTTTGGCAAATTGGTTTGGCTTTCGTAAGAGTAAGCTTCCTGCTCCAAGCAGCAAAAAGAGTGATCCGTCGAAAGTAAAAGAGGACAAGAGGGAGCAAAAGATTACATCGCTCCTGGGAGGAAAGCAGACAAAGTCTGACAAAAAGAAAGACAGAAGAAAAAGCGATGGAAAAGACTGGTAAGAAATCTTTTGACTCTGGTGCACTTAACACAATTCCTTCCAAGGTTTGATTTTCACTTCATTTGTATTTTTATCTCAACATCAAACCTTCAGTGCTTGTTCCAGCAGACTTTCTTATAGCTTACTGCCAATGAAGTAATTTACGGCCTCAGATGACTGTGCTCATTTTTATTAAGTGGCCTTAGACACATCTATCAGTGTCCCTAGCCCTGAGACCAGTTGAGACACATTTCATACAAAGGATTGCCGTCAGGTTTCAAGAGATATAGGGTAATTTATCAGCCAAATCACCCTAGGCATGTTGAGTCAATATCAGACAATCTTTGTATGTAGTGGTTTGTTGACAAACTGTTTTCTTTCAGCTCTGTGGGGAGAAGAGAGTCTCATGATGCAGTGCGGGCATGCATCTCAATGCCCTGCCCAGGAATGTCCCTGAATGAGATACAAGGACACAGTGACATCACTGGGGACCCAAAGGTAAATCAAGTCATTACCTAATACAAATGTATTTAATTGGTACATAGCCAATTTTAGTTGTGATCACAAAGATGTCTTCATGCAAAGATGTACTACAACCCTATTTTAATATGCAGTATATTTATTACAGTAATATGACAATACTCAAATTGCACCTGGAAGACACAAGGAAACAAAAACAACAAAAGACTCAGTGGGATCAAATAAAAACAGAAAAAGGTTACATGACTGTATTAACAAGTGAGACGTACTTCAGGCTCATTCCACCAGCTGTCCCTCAAACACTCTTACGCACAGTTTCATCATTTCGGCCTTTATTACCAAGCCTTATTTGAAGACCTTTAAATTTCTCACTGTGTCCATAATTTGGAGCCCATTTATTCATCCAAAAAATGTGAAAAAATACAGCACTATGATGTAGTGTTCAAAACCTGTGAAACTGTGTACATTAACTTGTGCATGGAGGGCTGCTTGTGGAGGACCTCACATCCCTCCTCCTACCTCCCAAACTCTCAAGAGCAGATCGAGCATATAGATTGCTGTGAATCAGTCAAAATAAATAATGTTGGTGGCAATGGAGAGCCCATGAGATGAAATTGAGGGTAGAAGCAAAAGCAAAATGTAGCAAATTCATGAATTAGTTACATTATGACCCTGACACCATCCAGGTTAGGTGTTCATTGTCAGCTATAGCCAGACAGGGATTAGTACCTACAGTACAGTATGATAAGGCTTGATAGATAATGGCAAGAACTAAACAATGATTTATTTTGTCCTTCTGCAAAAATACAGATGCAGATGGTGAACCTGAGAACTGATGGTGAAAATGGATCCACAGTGAAAAGCCCCAACCAGGATTCTGTAATAGGTCAGATTTTTCTATTCTCTGTTGTGGAGAATTGTCCATAATTCTTGACAGTCACTGGAAATAGTAATGGATCCCCCTTAAATGTCTTGGTACCTGAAACAAATCTAAGCTAACTTAATAGCGTGTCAATTCAAGCATGCTAGCCTTAAGGTTGTATCTGTGCTTACCATTTTACAGTTTGCAGACAGAAGTGAAGACCAAATATGACATATATGTGTAAGTCATAAAATGATGAATATGCTTTAAGCAGTCAAACAAACATGCAAAATGCAGAATTCTGTCAGTGTGTGCTTTTGCCTCCATATTTATGTTCATTTTATTTGTTCTGCCTCTGCATTTCTTGTTTTGGGTGGCAACTTGGATCAGGACAAATAGGAACCATTTCACCACAGTTGTATTTCACGCAGAGTTTGCCCATTAATGGGGATATTGTTTATAGCCTTGACTGCTCATCTTCACAGATCCATGCACTGAAAGTTTGCATGCACAGGCTCATCCAATCAGGATGAACCTATTCATCCATATGAGGGCCCAGGCTCCCTCCTGGCCAGCCTTAGTAGAAAAGTGGACCCACACTGCTGTGGGAAGATCAACTGGATTGTTCCTGCACTGAATGCGATCATGATATTGAGTTGGATTGAGGACAGGATTATCCTTTGTACAGCTGATCAATTAGTTAAATTAAGACAAGTGGCACAAGTGGACAAACAAAGCTGCTGTTACAGATTTGCAGCATTTGACATGGTTATGTTTTAGAAGATTTTTTTTTAGTAGATTGGATCAATCCAAAAGAGCCTTTTTAATGAGAGCCATTTTTATATAGTGCACAATTAGAGCAGGTGTTGGTAATATTGGCAACACACTATAGGGCATTAAATCACAGCCCACCCTAAGCTTTATTGAAAGCTTACTTATAGCCCACATAATAGTGAGTTTAGCTCATGGGGTCTGGCTCTCCTGAGATTGTTTTAGGTTTTTAGGTTCCTCATACATGCATGCTTTTTAAGTAGGACTGTGTGTTCATGTAAATAGCTTTGTATCTATCAAATTAGCCCAAAAAGTAATTCTTAGGTTATTGGAGAGGCCAAGTACTCAAGTCCAGGGAACCTTAAGGTGTTCTTGAAGATGAAACAACAAAACCGAAAACAACAATGTCTTTAGGCACACACAGACCAAGTAGAGAAATTATATTGAAGGCCTATATTTAGTTGTGCATGTTGGTTTGACCACCGGCAAGTTTCGTCCTCACTCCATCTGGGTGGAAAGAGTAAAAACAGATTTTAAAAAAAAACAACAACAATATTTTATCACATAATGAAATAATACAAATACAGAAGAAACAGTTTGAATACTTTTTAGGTCTATCACTACACCCAAGTACACAAAGCTGATGAAATTCAGTAAAAGCAATGCGCAAATACATCCATTAAAAAATGTTTGAAAGTGACCATTATTATTGGTATACCAACCAAAGAGATACTTGCAGTTGTACATAGTAGAAATTAAAACTGAGTATGAAAATTATTAGATCACTGAAAATCCATGCTAGAAAAGATCCACTTGGTTTCTTGTAACAGAGCCACTCCAACTGGGTCAGCTATGGGTCTAATTGTATTGTGTCAAGTCTAATGACTGAACAACCCAACAGATAATGGTGCACCATAATCACCACAGGAGAAAAACATGTTTTTTGAGGCAGACAGAGAGTGAACAGTGAGGTAAAATCCAGTGCACTGCTGCTTTTTCAATAGCTTCTGCTCATTAATAGGTGATGCATCGTGTGCCACCAGTATTGGTGTTTTCTCCCAGTTTGGGTCAGTTTGGTTCAGGATCACCTGTCCTTGGGTCCTTTTCAGATTTATGCACACCCGGTTTGAGGTTTCCACATGTCCATTTTGGGTTAGGTGCAAAACCTTGGATTAGTCAAAATAGAGAGAAAGACAGACAAGTAAGAGGGTGAAAGTAGAAAGGAAGTAAAACATTATTTGCTCCTTATTTCATTTGCAGCCACTAAATTAAAAATAGCAGCAGATAAAACTCTCCACATCGCTCAGGTAGAGGACTGGTGACAAACCCTGATGAAATTTTATTGACCAGAGTGGCACCATCGGCAAGACGCTGCAAATATCAAGCATGTTTGATACGGACTGACGCCTGCCCTCAGGGGTTAATCACCTCATTAAAATTTCAGCACTGCACCAGCTAAGCACACTCATCCAAGCCACAACTGAGTCAATTAACTTTGCCTTCAGCTGTGAGCTGAATTATACCGTCCAGACTTGGCATAAACTTGTTGGGCCTCATGTAGAGTTGACAGAGCAGTTTTCAAATTGATGTTTTAAAATAAGACAAACCAAAATAAGTTCTGTACAGATCAACAAACATTCAAATAATGTCTATAGTATTAGATTATACTAAGAAACTACAATTGTACAGGTTTTGGCTGTGGATTTGGAATCATCAATCTTCACTATTCTTTGGTGAAGTTATTTCTTATTAAATCAGACTTCTTATTCTAAAGGCCAACTGATTAAATTGCACTGTGCACAGATCTTATGTGTAAATTACATATTATGTGCACCCCTGTGAGTTCCCAAATTGGAGAAATTTCTATTTTATATTTTTTGGTTCCATGATGGCACCCCCTGGCTGTGCAATAAGATCAGAAGAAGAACATAGAAGATAATCAGAATGTAATTGGTTCTGCATCTACTTAGAAAGGGATTTCTTTTCATATCAAACAGCAACATCAACACTATTATTACATTATACAAATAGTATCCTATGTTTTAAAAAGAAGGAAAATCATCACTCCAGTGTCCTCTTGTGACATCGAGCAGTTACTGACTGAGCTTGGTACAATCAAGAGGAGATGTGAGAAGGATAAAAACCTTACCGTCCATGTTAAAGGCTTGTTGAAACCAATCAATTCTCAGCCTCTGTGATTCTGCCTTTCTAGGGAAGACTGTGTCACAGCGGTTCTTGTTAACTTCCAACTTAAGACCAAACTAATCAATAATGTCTCTGCTCTATGTCTTCTCAATTCAATTATTTCTTCTTGTTTACAACAAGGTAAAAATAACCATTTTCATCTCAGGCAATGCTTCACTAACAGATAGAGACACTTACGGCTAATTCTTAATTAGCACTAGTCATATGTTGACTGTTAACTGTAATGGATGTTAGTCAAGTTGCCAGGACGTCTCTGTAACTCATGCTTTAAATAACATTGAGATGTTTTCAATGCTGTGTACATTTGAACCTAACCTGTAATTTGACGTGAGTAGTTAGTATGATGTGAAAGGTAAAACGGCTACTATAATACTGCAATGTTTCTCTGTTTTCCCAAGACTGAATTTCCATGCCAACAAATAGCTTCAACTTTATTTGTAAATTTTTACCCTTACCCTATTCACATTTTCATATTTGTTAGCATAGCATGACTTGTAATGTGACAAATCCGAAAAACTCAATTGATTTGAGCACTCTAGCTTCAAAACGAAATAAGGAAAAAGTGAAGAAAAATGAGCTTGTAGAAACCTAGAAGAGGGGTGTGAAGTCTCATGTGTGCATGCCTTAATTAATAAAGGGGGAGCAGCTGTTGCTTTTGCTCCGGCGTGTGATTGCCTACAGGTTCCTGCTACGGGGTACATATTAAACTGCGAGCCATGGCAACAGCTTGAGGATATCTTTTCTTATTTTGATTTTATGCTGCTGTGACACGCCTTATTTTTTAGATAGTGTACTGGAAGATTTGTTTTGAAAGATAGATGATTCCCTGATCCAAATCTAAATGATACAAACTCATTTGAAATGCAAAAAAACAGAGGTGTAACAACTGTGATATAATATGTAATTCTGGAAGCACAATGTCAGACTTTCGATTAAACAATGCAAATTATGCATCTTTAATCTTAAAATTGAGAAACAACACAGTTATGTTTGACATATTGAAAATAAAATACACACATTTGGAGTGTATTTAAATATCATTTCATATGCCATTCCGTACATTTCATATTCACAGTGTGATCAATGCATGCTAGTCGTCACACACCCATTAAACAGCATCTGTAATGAAAAGCAGTGGTTCAAGTGGGCTTGATTTGCATTGGGCGAGTCATTCTCTGTAGCAGGGCTACATGTATGGTGTAATTAGCTAAGCAAATCATTACCCTGCCACACATTCAAGTGTAATAAGATTGTACTGAACCACCATTTTTCAACTTGGCTTTTAAGAGGAAACCATTGCCAAGTTTAAGATTGAGTGAAAAAAAGAGAACAGACAAACCATCTGTTGCATGTCTTCTATGAAAGGACCAAAACACAACAATAGGATCGGCTGCTCACAGCCCAAAGCAACAGCAAGGATAATGCCGCAGGAATAACATGGAAAAAATTAATTATTGATTGGTAAAGCTGCCCTCATTTGAGCTTTTTCACTGATTCACATCTTCAGTTATCATTTCTAGCACAGAATGAGAGGCAGTTTGTTCTCCAAGTGGAACAGCTTTACACAGACTTTACATATATTTAAAAGGTTTCTTTAGCACCACTTCAACCATGGTAACCCTGTTGTTTCATTCCTGTTGTGCTCCCTCTCTCTCCCGCTACCCTGAGCCACTTCAACTGTTCTCCCTGTGCCGCAGGCTTCGGCTGCAAGATGCGAACGTTGGACAGTGGAATCGGGACCATCCCCCTTCCTGAATCCTGTTCCTTCTTCTCCTCCATCCTGCACCTCCTCCCCAAATCCACATCAACCCCAGAACAGTCCCTCAGTCCTCCTAGTGTCCCTGGTTCCTCCAGCGAGGACGTGTCTCCTTCCCCATTACCCCGGTGGAGAATACCCTCCAGCTTTAAGGACAGCAGCCATGCAGGGATGCCAAGCTCCCTGTCTGACTCCTCCATGACCCATATCCAGTCAGTGCCTTTCCCCACTGTGGCCTTCCTCCAGCCCATCCAACCCCAGTCTCAGCCCATTGTGACCTCTGCCAGTAGGCCTATGTGTGATTCCCAGAGCAGGCTACCCAGACCACCACAAGGTACAGTAACGCCACAAAAGTCAGCAAGAAGCAGGACTGCGGAAGTAGTGCAGAAGATTCTTGTAGGGTTTTCTTCTTTTTGTGCTGTGGATTCATCTGGTCTCATGCAGGAGCATTTTCATATTTTATGTAAAGGTCTCTTACTTTTTCTGCAAGGTTTGCTTGTAGAAGTGGGATTCAGCTAACACTCTTAACTGCACAAACTTGTCAATTCCATCTGTTCATGAGTAGGCATAATCAGCACCCCAAGGCTACCTGTTCCGCTCCATTTATAAGCAAGCTTCATTCACAAAAATGCCACCCAAGAGTAAATATAAAAATGTCATACTATGGAGCATCAAGATCTGCTTTTGGAAATCAGCATTTAACAGTTGTTGGCCATGGTTGTCAGCGTTGTGTCATTGCAGCACCAGAAATGTTGTGACAGAAAAAAAGCAAGAATTGTTTGACATGAGGTTAGATGCCAAAAAATGTTTTGCTTAAATAAAGTGGTCCATTACTTCAACTTAGACTTAGTCTAGGGATGTGATAGTCACGGAGATGGATGAGTGAAGCGTTCAGTTATAAAGACCTTGAGCTAGCAAACCTTAGGGGTCAAGTCGAAAAATTATTTTTGTTCAACCAGCAGCGAATCTTCCAAATTATTCTGTTGATCCATGTCTTCTGTCTGCCTTGAAATACAGGATTATATAAGCAACATCAACATTTAAATCTAATGTTTCTGCAGACTGCACAACCCGCTGTGCATACCTTCCAGGGAAGAAGAAGAGCACAGCAGAGCGGTGCAGTCAGTGGAAATATTGGATTTTAACATTGGCTTCGCCCTGAGCAAACATCATATAATTCAAGGCAGATAGTAGACGTCTATGAGATCACTAAAATACCTTTGAAAATGCAACCCGCTGCTGGATATCAGGTAAAAATATAACATTTTGAATTTTATCCAAAGGTTTGCAAAGCGAACGGAGTCATGAATCGATGTACAGAGTGCGTCACAAATCACAGCTAACCCTGGCAGCTGGTGGAGTGGGAGGATGTTTCTAGTGGCTACTGAACTGTGTAGGTAGTCAGGCCATAATACTTAGTTGAAGTAAATTATTTTACTTGATTTTGGTAACTCCAAATTCCTTCAGATTATAATTATATAGCATTATAATTCCTAAATCTGTACACACTTTTTTAATGTTCTCACTCGTCGTACATGCCACTTAAAAACAATTTAATTTGAGTGGTTCTTGCATGAGGCCAATTGTGTTGAGACTCTGTTACATCAGGGTTTAAAAAAAAAGGCAATTTATAGGCTGATGCAGATACACAGGGGCTATCCAGATTGTTTTGACTGGGGTGGTGTGAAGTATGTACAGTCATTCCCAACTTTTACAATTCCAATACTGTTTACGGATGTTAGTATGCAGAAATATTTAAATACGCTACACTACATTTATATTACATGCAAAAAAACTGCATGGTCAGAGGTCAAGGGATCCTTTTAAAAATGGCCATGCCAGTTTGTCCATCACCAAAATTTTGCCTAACTTTGGAGCATTATTTTGCCTTCCCAACATGCTAGCATGACTTGGTACCATGGTACCGATGGATGTGCTTAGTCATCGTGTTTCATATGATATCACTATCTTTACTCCAGCTTTAAAAGTTTGCTCCAGCCTCTTATACACAGTGTGAGTGAATAAAAACTTTTAAAAAAGTGAGCAATGTCAAAGTAGGGTTTTGCTGGGTGTATTTGTGCTGCTTCTAAAACTGCTCCGGAAGTGGAGTTTACTAACCAAATAAATGGAAAGCTCCTCCACTAAACTCCTGCGCTCATCTCATAGACCAAAATTGAAAGTTAGGATAAAGAAATGTAATCTTTACAAATAAACAGCCAGTTTTGATTTAAGAAATTGTGCTCTACGCTATAGAACAGGCTGTAAACCTTTCTGCCATCTGTTGTAGCTCCTTTAAAAAAGGATGTCTCCAATGGAAGTTCTGCTTGGGTAACTCATTATTCATTTATCTATTCTAAGGAGCACTTCAAAGCCACATTCTCACATGAGGAAATGCATTTCATGAAGATTCATTCCTGTCATGTCCACTGCTTTAGTTTCACAAGTGTGCCAGGGAATTTGAAAGAGCAAATATCTATATATAACTACATATAATAGACTACTGAAAGCAGCAGTGATTATAATGTGTCATCACGACACTGATAGCTTTCATGCAGGAGGACACATTGTGGACATCGTCTGCTCAATATGTTAATCAGACAGCATGTGTCACAGAAAAACACTCATTTTCTCTGTCAAGATAAAAGATGCATTTTGTGTGTTTGTGGCTTTTAATGGGTCATGTTTTCACAGTGAAGCCCCAAGGGTTCTCCACCACACAAACAATATGTAGCCTGTTTGCACCTGCTCAGTTTAAGAAGGGGGGGATTTAGAAGTGCATGTGGCCACAGCATAGTTCAACTCATTCTGTGGCTGTAATAGGAAAGATTAACCTTTTGCTAAACCCCCTTGGTTATTGTTGCCTGTCAAGCTTTGCAGTTTGCAGTGATAATGCTGGCAGATTTACCACTCACAATTTTAAACAATTGGTCCTTGATTTCAAAAAGAGGCAGACAAAAACAGGCTTCTCATTTTAGCCTGCAAAGCTAACTGACAACCGTTTGTGGCAGATTTTATTACCCCTAGCTAATTAGCTTATTAGTTATTTTATTATACTTAATAACTTTCACTTCTGATGTGTTTGTCAGATGTAAAGCTAGCTAATGAGATGCTAACATTAGCCTAAACTCTAATATTGTAGCCTTGAGGACCAGCTCTCACAAAATGGGGAAATACTGCACAGTGCATGTGGAATGAAGCTTTTCTCTAACCCCACAAATAGCTTATAAAATGCTCCTTGGCCTAATAATAACTCACGGTTGCTAAGGAGCCGGGCACACTAACGTTTGCAACTTACATTAGAGCAGATAAATTCAGTTAAATTAGAGACAGTGCAGATTGCTAAGATTACATCAGACTGAATGTTGGTGAAATGTATATTTAAATGTTTGTCTCCTGAGGGACATTTCCTTTTACAAACAGTGAATGTTTGATATAAGCAACCTAAACGGTCACTCCATATCTGGCAAACTAAAATCTAGCTTCATTCGCACAGTGTTTCAGTTGAGATCAGTTCCGATGGTTGCCACTTTAAAATGAGAATTATAGATTAATTATGTTTTAAGATGTTAGATCGCCTTCCACTTTGAATTCAGAATGATAATCTTGCTCTCTTTGAGGATGTCACATGTCACTCTGTCAGTGTCACTCTGTTCTCTGAACTCTTTGAGCATTTTACTCCTGCTTGAAAGGAGAGAGAATTAAATCTGGCTGCTGAGAAAACTTCTGAAATGAGTTTCATTTTGTGGTTTTTCCAGGTGGATTGGAACCAAAGAAGTTGACCTATATCAAATCGAAAACACGAACTACTCCGAGCCAACAGAAAGAACAGACAAGACTTCAGCTTGCCAACTGTAAGACGCAATGCCACAGGTTTATTTAAGAGACACATTTAGGAAAAACATCAGCTCAAAAACCATGTTATGTTCTGTGCAAATGTTTTTCACATTTATAGTCTGTGATTGCATTTTTCAGTGTTACAGTTCCTTCTTGCTACTATACTAAAAAAAATAATGAAATGATTTCTGGTGATCACCTCTGAAAGTCACAGTGACCCAACTTACCTCCTGAAAGGAAGAAAGTTCCTGATTCCAGACAAAATGAATTCACAAAAGTGTTGTTGTACCCTTAAAATGGATGATGTCCTGCCCCAGCCTTGGAGAATAGAAATAATAATGTAATCAAATTCACTTTACAGCTTAAAAACTCTCCAAATGTTAGGGTCAAAAGATATATTTTTTTTATTAAGAGTTTTATTTGCAAGTGTGTTATAAATTGAAAGGTTTTTCAACTTTTTAGTCACTTATTGCAAAGATGTCTTGTCAGACATATTCAAACTTTCTAAACTGTCACTACAAAGATGACAAAAACTACAACAATTTCACTTTTTCACATTGTAAGAACAGCACCGTTCGCCTCAAAAACTACACTTTCCCGTAAAACTCATTTCCATCCCCACTGAGCAGAAATAAGCTTAATGGTGGAAACTAAACACATGACTAACACAAGTTTCCCAAACATCATTTGCATCTTACTACAGTACATTAACGCTGGCATTTACACCGTGTGTGTGTGGGTGTGTGTGTGTAGGTGTGTGTGTATGTGTGTAGGTGTGTGTGTGTGTGTGATATGCCTGCAAGTTAAACAACCAGCCACAGGTTTGAGGCTGCTCACGAGCGTCACACAACATACTCATAAAGAGTATGTGTTGCCTTTGGGTCTAGAGATTAACACCTTTTTTTACTCACAGAAATACACTCATACAAAGGTTTAATGCTCTGTAGAACATTATAACGCACACATACTGTGAACTGTTTAAGTAGCTGATTCACAGTATGTAAGGAACAGCTTCACCATCAACATGCAGGGCAGCAGGTTTCTTCAAATATCATCTCCAGCCCATTTCAGTCAAATCACAAGTTGTCTATTTGCATTTAAACCACATTTCCTCGTGTAGAGCGACTGAAACTGATACATGTTAAATTTACCTTCAACAACACTTTGATACTATTGAAATCACCATAAACTGTAATTTAAGGTGCTCTGCAGTCAGCAGAAATAATTGCTGACTTTCCTTTGAATAAAATTGGTTGTGTATGTGCAGGAGAATTGTATTGCAATATGTGATGTAACCATTCCTGAGGAAGTAAACACACATAATAATACTGAAATTTGCTTCCTTCACCACCACTTATATATAAATATAAATATAATAGAAATAATACATTATATAAACACATTTTCTAACAGTACGTGTTACTTTTCCTTTAAATAACATATTTGTTTTTGGAAATTGTTTGCATGACTCCAGATCTCACTCTGCTCTATCTTCCATTTCAGAACTTATGAAGCTGAATGAATCAATCTGAAAGGAGGAATCAAGAAATCAGTTGGATTTATCACTCTTACACACACAAACACACACACACACACACACACACACACGGAGGATCCCTGAATCTCCCAGTTTGGACAATGAGTCTGTGTATCAGGATGAAAACGCTCAGAACTGGAAAACAAGTGAGCTTGGCATTGCAGGCTTCCACCTGTGCTCAGTGTAGTGTGGAGATACTGAGTAGCCTTTCAGATGTAGTAATGAACCTTCTGGCAGCCATTTTGGAGGTCTGGCATCAGCTGTGAGCAGATGAGTAAATGTTTAAATGTACAACAACTCTGCTGTCTCACAGGGCGGGAGTTAAACACACATGGTTATTTTTTTTGCTGTTTCTTCCCCCCTAGGAGAAGTACAATTTATGCAAACACATAAACAGTATTTGTTTTTTAATAGCAGGTTAGCTAATGTAGCACTTTCATGGCTACCTGGAACCATCAACATCTTATTAACATCTGAGTTGCACACAAGCTAGTACTTGGCTTGGTTTGAGCTAATATTATTGGCCAGGTTTCTTGGAACCAGTGTATTTGGACAAGAGTGTGGAGCTGATTGAGGTCGCCCTGGTAGCAACTGGTCAGTCACAAGCATACCCTGCTTTGTCTATTTTACTCTAAATGAGACCATAATTTACTAAATGAACAACATGTTGTATGTAAGAAGACTTGACACTAGCAACTGAGACCATAAACTCATTAGGAAAGTGTTTACTGAGTTATTAAGTCAAGTGTTTTGTCGAGACATTTTCTCATAGACTGGCCATAACAAAGAATGCAGGTTTAAGACTCTTCCACACTGGCTGCAGATTTCAGACCCAGAAGCTTCGTCCACTACTTAATATACAGGCTATGTGTACAACTAGTAATAGTACCGAGAAGAATTTAAGACAAGAAGACAATTTACAATTTACTGGGGTGCAGTGACCTGGATGCAAAAACTGAACTTACTAAATGGATCTAGTGTTCAGCCCCCATCATTAAAAATTCTATTTCTCACATTGCTCATTACTATGTGGACATTATCAAGGATTTTGTTTGCACACAGAAACACATTCAACCTATTTCCAACATTTTGTAACCTGTTGGTAAAAATAAATGCATTTACTAAGTTTGACCACTAGTAGATGGAAAAAATACATATCATTTTTTTTATTACATTTAAGCCAAAATAATAATATTAATATTCCCTATTCTTTTTCTTTCTTTTGGTCTCCACCACTTCTTTAACCTGCTAGCTGCTTTGACTGCATGAGCTTTGTCAATGAGTGCAATCAGTTAGCTTACAGTGGGTTTCTGTGGTGGCTCCAGTTCACCATCAGACCTCCATAATGGCACCAGTTGTGGTCACTTTTAGACACTGAGAGACCTCCACTAAAATCTTGCTGAACAAAGATTATTTAGCCACATTCCTTTGTATTTCCAGACATTTTATTAAATGTTTATGTGAAGATCTAATTCTGCTTGAGAGCTAATAAATATCTAAGCTAGAATAATTATGTCAGTGATATATTTTTGAGCAAACCATAAGAAGGTACCTTGAGAGTACAAACTATGACGTCCATCCTGAAGACTTTGATGTACAGCACTAACTACTGAATGCCATTCATGAGCTCTATACCTGACTGAGTAATGTGATTCTTTAAAGTGTGCACTATCTTGTTGGAAACCCTTTTTTTATTGTCACGTTGTTAAACTTGCATGCAGCCACCCTTGGACTTATTTTAACCAGAGAAATGCATCCCAAGAATCTGATATATGAAGACTTTCATCACAAGAGGTGGAAAATACTGATGTGTGAAAATTTAATGTGCACTTTTTCGGTCTTTTAAAAATACCATCCATGGTGACTGACTTCCACACCTGTTGTCATTTTAAAAAAGTGTTACATTTTGCAAGTCTCATCTTGTAATGAAACTCCTCATATGTGAACTGCATTTTGTACGTTTCCACAGTTATGACATCAAGACAAAGCAGTGAGTTTTGCATGTAACCTTAGTTATAAAGCACCTACTGTAGTAAGCACATTGTGGACATTGTTGTGCTAGCTCAGGGAAAATACCATTTATTGTCTCTGATAGATGCTGTGGATTTAATAAGTAAACCTCAACTTAAACATCTCATTGCAGTCAGTTAACGCACCAGATTTCACTGTAACGGTTTAATGATATTACCTGAACTCAATATTCTCCTCTTGTCAGTTTTTGTCTGTACATTTAACTGTAAGATATCGCACCACGGTTGCTCAGTTTCTCTCTCTATTATGTATGCTGTGTCCTTTATAGTAATGTTTTCGGTGTTTTTGAATGCATCCCAGCATATTTGACGGTTTTAGCTGCTTTGCGATGTTTCTCTCCCTCACACCTTTGTCAGCTCCCTCGCCTCTTGTGTGTAGATATTTGCCAAAATGCATATTGCCAAACACATCTCTGAGCTAAATCACATATACAGAAAATGAATGCAACTGAATCTACATATCAGACTTGTCATGGTGACTATAGCCATATTCTTTTGAAACACTAGAGACAGTTTACAGTTTCACGTGATGTAGAACTATGGAGCACTGTAATATTGCACAATATCATTAGTCATGTCATCTTACTGTATTTACCTCTTCTTTAAATCACTTGCTACATGTCTATGTTGAAGGTTATATCTGTCAAATTAAAGTCAGTGGAAACACACAGGTTTAATAAATGAAATATGTAGCGTACACAGGTAAGACAAGGTGATAATGGATCAGGGAACAGATTGGCTGTACTGATACGGGTAGATGGAGCATGGCGTCTGTGTTTTTAAAATGGCTCACATAATGAAGAGCGTCACTCTCACAAGAGTATTGTATTTTTTTAACATTTACTCTAATGCCCTGTATTTGTACTCAGCACTGATGAGTGTAATTTACCATTTATTGCACATATTGTTACTCACTATTGCAGTTATTCTCCTTCTAAATGTTTTTTTTTCAGAACCCGATAATAACAGTGATGTTCTTGTGTGACAGTCACCTTAGCAGTACGAATTGAGAATTGTATATTGCTGATATTCTTTGTTTTATGTAAAAGAAGAAAGAAAAAATAAACTATTTCAATACTTATACAGCAGTAAGGAGGTTGCCTTATGGTTTGTTGTATTCGACTGAATTAATGTGACTGTAAAAAAGCTCCATGTGGGGGAGACAGTTTTCCTCAGTTTGAGTGTCCACTTCAGACTGTCCAAATTTCTGTGCTTGCCAATATGAAAGATGGAAGCACTACAGAGCAGTGGGTCCACTTACTTTTCCAACTCTGCTACAACAATAAGTGTTGTATTTTTCATTAACTTCAAGGTAAACAATTCGCAGAATACCAACATGTCATGGGCACTGGACCAATGTTTGTCAAACTGGAAGCAAACTCCTGCTGGGCTGCCAACAGTGCTGTCAGATGGAAACTAATGGGAAAAAACCAACACGGAAGAAGAATGTTTATTCTAAAATTCACATGGATTGCAGGAATTGGTGTGAGGTGATTATAGTGAAGCAAAAACGATGAGTTGAAGAAGCATCTGTATAAGAATTCCCCTTCAACACTGGCAGGCGGGGGTCACGACTCCTGTCTTCTGGTTAGTGTTGACATTTTTATCATCTGTCCATAACGCCACCCCCCTATCCTCAAAGGAATAGTTTGACATTTTGGGAAATGCGCTTATTAATTTGTCGTCCGAGAGTTAGTTGAGAAGATCAAAACTGCTGTCATGTCCGTTATGTTTGATGTGAAGTGGGAGCCATGAAGATGATTAGCTTAGCTTAGGGGGTTGTGTATATTACAGGTTATTTCTTGGCCACTGTGACTAAATTAAAACCATAACTTGTTGTTCTTCCAGTTCAGTTTTTCATATAGATTGTACAAATTAAACAAACCAGATACAGACATTTCTTGTGTTGATAGACAGATTATAGACATTTAGACGGAGCCAGTATAGTTGTTTCCACCTGCTTCAAGTCTCTGTGCTACATTGCAAAAACGGCCTTTAAAACCAGATTATTTTTCTAATGCAAAACATGCTTGAAAAAGATTGTTTTTCTTTTCAGACAGAAAATAAAAGACTAATTTCCCAGAAACGAGGCTTATTTACTTTCTTGAGATTCCTTATTATAAGTGTAAGCTAAGCTAACCGTCTCCTGGCTCAGTGTCATATTCAACAAACAGATATGAGAGCGCTGTCATTGGTTTTATCTTCCCCTCAGCAGGAATAAGTGTAACTCCCAAAATGTCAAATTATCCCTTTTATTGAGGCTACAGTAAGTGGTTTTGGTTTGTCTTTTGTTAATCTGAATTATACTACAACAATATTTTGGTTGCTGTGTGCAGATATTGAAAAAATACCCTGAAAAATTCAGGCAGCCTGGATAACTTTATGCTTCCTCGAAAATGTGTTTTGCTAATGCGAAACTACTTACTTACTGCCCTTTATCCTTACTGGCATATATGGCAGCAACAAAGGATCTCCTGTCCTGTTTGATTATCCAGTGCAAAATATATGCATATAAACATAATTGATATGAGATAATATTGGCAGAAAAAAGCAGGGAACAAGCTCAAATAAAACTCCACAACTGCAGCCAAGGGAGCATTTCTCCCGCTCTGGGAAATTTGTGAGCATTCGGGGTCTCGGGCCATCTGGTCCAGTTTTATCTCTGAATGCAAAACTCCCTTGAGCTCTGCCTATGACAAACCCAGTACCTACAGGAACCAGTGCAGTGCTGTGACATTCTCAATTTGGGCACGGCTGGTAAACCAGGCAGAGTTTTCAGTATTATGCAATAGTGTGCTAATCTTCCCTTGACAATTATAGGTTTCTAAGATCTCAATTGCTGCACAGGGTAAAAACCAAACTACGTCTTATTCTAAGTGAGCCGATGGGCCTGATTGATGAGGTGAAAAGGTACAACTCTTCCGGTTATGTGCAGCTGAATCAGGTGCTTTTCAGAACAAGGACAAGGACAGCAGACTGTCCAAAGCCTGATTGATAATCTACAACGTGGCCAACAGAATATTTTAAGTGTAGCTGAATTTACAATAAAACATTTTATGCACATAAAATTGCAACTACAACACAATGCCACTAAACCCTACTGGACCTTTAACTATTGCTCTGAGCACAGGGTAATAACTGAAGGCAGATTATTTTTTCTCTCTAACAACTCAGATTCTCTTTCACCTGGACTGCTGTGGCTGAACAGAACAATGTTAAGAGATGTTTTAGTGGCAAAAATTAACTTGAACTATAAAACATAAGATTTGGCAAAGCGAAGGGGACATGTCACCCCCCCATCCCTGGTGGAACTTATGCCCTTGTCCTTGATGACAAACTTTTAAATACTGTCCTAAACTGCAAATCAGGTAAGCAAACAGCCTCTCAGGAAGTATGAAGGTTCCTGTAACCTTGTGCCGTTTTAGCTGTCAGAGTAAATGCTTTAAGTCCTGGAGTCTTACTGTCTTTAACATAATGACTCCCTTTTGATTTATAGACACTAATTTAATAACAAGGAAAGCATTATGATCCTTTTCCATAGACAAAAAAGTCTCATATTTCACTTATAAACTAAGCTCATTTTGGATATTTTGTCCAAAATGCTTCACTTCCTCTTTTAAGATGCAAGGCACATTATGTATGCAGGAGGCTTTTTTTCTGATCTGATGGTCAGTCATCCTTGATTAGTGTTGCTGTTTTAAAAAGCTCTATGCGTAATGCCTCCCAGTGTGCCATCAGTCATGTTATGACACTCAGAAGCTGCCATAGACAGAAACTCCACTGGTGCACATTTAAACTCTCCTAAATGCAGCGTTGCTCTCAGTGCAGATGCCTGACTAAGACTGTATTTCATTCTAATGCATAAAAAAATATAGTAAAACTCTCAAATTATGAATTTTAACCAGTCAGTTGGAACATTTTTCTCCCAAAATACTGAACCATCTTTTAATCATCTGACAGCTTCAATAGCTGCCCGTTATGTCTTTTACTTTCATACCAGCAAGGTTTCACTTTAATTATCTTCCTAGACATCTCATTTCAGAGCAAAACACTTGTTATAAATCTTCTCATTGCCCAAAATGTAATGTAAATGACCGTTAGCTAATTTAAAGTTCGACCAAAGTAGGTATTCATAACATTTAAGTGTGTCTTAATGTGTAATTATCCAAGTTCCAATTAAGCTGATTAGCACAGTAAATCACAAACAACTTCTCTGCAGCCCCTTGACGCAGCGCTGACACAGTGTTTCATCCGCTAATTAAAACAGGTTGATCATGACGACTCTGAATGAAACTATCAGAGTTTAGACAGAGGATTGAAACAGGCTCAAATCTGCCTTCCTTTGAGACCAGTAAACAATGACAAAGCATAACGTGACCCTCCTTTGCTTCAGATCAGCAGTTTGCCCTCACATTGGTTTGTTCTGCACTGAAATCCTCTTCTCTATGCAGCAGAGCGCCGGTAGGTGTATTGAGGCATATACAGTATAAATTAGTTTGAAGAACAGGTTGATATGGTGTCGGGATCGGCACTGAGGACCACAGTTATGAAGCAGGGTTGAGAAGAAATTGTTCAGCCAAGTTTCAGCCCTATATGAAATATTAGCCCACACTGTACAGCACTGAAGAGACTAATCCATCTTTTGAATTTGTGCAAGAGTATCCAACCAGTTTTTACCCCCCAAGTGTTGCAGACAGTGTTATTAGTTTTTGAAAAGCCTTTGAAAAGTGCCTCACTTAACACAGCCTTATCGCCGAGCTCTTTTGTGGCGGATTTCTGTGCCGTGCTGCCACACGCTGCACCAGACAGCAGTGTGTTTCTCTGTTTACCTTGAACTTATGATGTGTTTCACTGCCTGCAATATTTTCCCTGGGCACATGTTTTAAATCTTGTTTTATGATTTTGCTCATGTAAAAGTAGCCGTTAAGAGGTCCCACGATGAACCTTTGGTTTAATCATCCTGTGTTTATTTCCATTAAGAGCTCAGGACAAAAAAACAAACAAAAAACGTGTAAACAAGAAACTGCAATATTGTGCAATTTAGCAAAACCCAGGATTACGTACAGTGATGTTTTTAGATGTTTTGATTCTGACCCATGGTCCTTTTCTGTATGTCGTCCACTCTTTCTCTGCATAAAAAAAGCCCCCAAAAGGTATATAAAAGAATGAGACATAGAGGGAAAAGATTGTTTTTTTTTTTATTTATGGGCCATGGCAGTCGTTTATCATGGGGATAAAAATCATTCATCTTTGTTTTACACAAACTTCCCGCAGTTACTGAGTTCACTGTTTGGGTTCATTGTGCAGTTTTTAATATAATGTGAAATATCCATAAAATATGTCAATTAAGCAGGGGTCGTCAGTTTAATAAATGATAGAAACGGTGTCTCTTAATGAAAGAGATTGGGAACCACTGGGCCAAGGTGCAGTCTGAACAGCTGAATTTCAGGCAGCGATGGAAGAAGTGTAGAAAGTCTCCTGTCCTTGTGTCAATGGAGAGCTTGTTCCACTGTTGTGGATCCAAGACAGCAAACAATTGTGGTTTCATTGAACAGTAGCTGGACCCCAGTGAGGGAGTAGCTAGCCGATTGGCCTGAATGTATAATGGCCCAAGAATACACTACTTCCTGCATTAACACTGAATCTAAATCATGTTATTCGTATATTGGGTATTGGGCTTCATTTAAAGAATGATGCTGGTGATATTCTAGATTTTCTTTTCTTACCACAAATATGTCAACTAAAAAGTATTGTCTGTGTATCACAACCTAATATATCTTATTCCTTTGTGCCATAGAGCTCCAAAAACTAATTAAAAACACATCAATGAGCCACACTGTTGCACTGGGTGACATTTTCCTTCATCACCGTGAACACACACGCTATAGTTTATTTTTACTGAATCCCACATAAACCATCCTGCTGCTGTAACACTGGAGCACCGAATGTATTAATCCATAGCTGAAAATAGTCCCTAATTAATGCACTGTGTTCTCTCAAACAGCAACCTGCTGTTTGGAGAATTATTAGCCTCTGTTAAAAATGAAGCTATATATTTGTGACAGGTATTTAAAGATGATCTTCAGTCTAAACCGATGGGCTTAGGGCCACAGACAGGGACTGGCTCTCAGTAGCTTTTCAATGTGGAAAGGTAGTGAGAGACAGACTAACAGTTTTTTTGGACAATATATAAACATCATTGATTTTTTATGTGCTCCACAGAAAGTGTTTTATTTTATTATCTGGTTAAATAAAGGTTTAACTGTAGAATAGAATAGGTCAATAAATATAATCAATATTAACTTCTTGTCACAAAAGCATCACTGATATTGTTTTTAACTTTATCCTGTGTTGTACGAGCTTGGGAGCATCTCTAAGTTTGTTTGCTCCTTCTGATTCTCATAATAAAAGTAAAATAATACTTTAATAACAAAAGTAAAGAAGGTAGATGCTGTTGTATCTTTAATAGACTGCATATACTGAGTCAAAGGGGGAATAGAGATAAAAGTGAAGCACGGTAATAAAGTGATTTTCAGCACTGAGATTACTAAAACTCTGATTAGAGTCTTTGGAGGTCAAAGCATTAAATCTGTCCTGTCAGTTTATAGTCTAGTTAATGTAAAATTATGAGCTATAAATACAGCAAATAAAGATTCTGGATTTATTTAGCATTATAAGAAAGATTTAAGGTGGTCAGAAGACCAAAAATGAAGGCTTCTTAGACATTTAATCAGACTGATAGCATTATTTTATAGTTATGTGCCTTGTGTTTTATCTACTTTTGTGATTAGTTTTTTACTGTAAAGCACTTTGTAACTTTGTTCAGAAAGGTGGCATAAATAAAGTTTATGTTTCAGTTTATTAATATTTTGATATATTTTTTCCTTCTTTATGAAACTTTATTGATCCCCATGGTGAAATCAGTTCCTTGCAGCAGCAAATTGAATGAGATTCAACACGAAATTCATAAATATAAAATAAAATGCCCATTATAAATAAAAAGAATAACAGAATAAACCAGGTTGAACGTCCCTCGGCATCGTTGTCAAAACACTGACTTTCTAATCACGTGGTAGACATACAATCGCGCACAAGTGTGTGCGTGCGTCAGCGGCGGATAAGAGAGGTGAAGCATCGCAGGAGGTGTCAGGCTCACCATGCCCGGCTGCCAGCTGCTCTGTCTCTGCGCCTCAGACCCGGAGAACATCCGTCTCTCATGTTTGAGCTCAGAGTGTCAGTAAGCGGACCATGCGGCTGTTCACCGTCTCAACTTTGCTCCTGTTCTTCTGCAGCTCAGGTATGGACACACACAGCTTCTCTCTCTCAGCACTTCACGGGATTAAAGGCGACTTTTAGGCTTTCGTTTCACACTAAAACTTCCAAACCCGCTTATCTTTTTCCTTTTGGAGATGGAGCGCAGTGGGAGACGCAGCGCGCACCGCTTGGAGCGATCAGCGCTCATCCAACGTTGTCTTTGTTTAAAGTTGAGCAGGTTTCTCATTTTGGCTCGTCATTTTGACGATGGAAAGATGCATGTATTTGGATGTACTTAGTTTAAAGTATCGGGTGCCACACCTTTACTACTGACATATGACAGAATAGTCTCTTAAAGCTCGCTGGAGCACTGCGCTCCTGTGCGTCTGAAACGATGCAGGTAAGTTTAAAGCCTGCTGATCAACACTGCAGAGCTCAGTATGACTCCTCTTTAAACTAACTGTGAAATATCTCCCTGAATTTGACCTCTGCTTAATCTCCTACAATGTTCCGCAGTAATCGCAGTGGCACAGTGAAGAGAGAACTCTGCTGCTTATGGAATTTATTTCTTTAGCAGTGGTGGGAGAGGAATAAAAGTACATGTACAACAATGTTAAAATACTACATTACAAATGTAAGTCATGTAAAAAAGATATAATATTTCATTCTGAAATGGGGGTAGATGCATTACATTAAGTGAGATAAAACAGTATAGAAAATGTTTTAGTTACAGTCCACCACTTATTATTATATTTATCCATAACTTCCACGTTTCATAAACCTAAACTATACATTACATATTAACTGGTTGTTGATAAATGCATCACTGCACATTACAAGTCTAAGTTTTACTGATGTTGGTAAAATCTGAGGTTTGATCATCATGTGCATAACATCTCATCCTGCTGCCCCTTTTCAGCACAGTGCGTGCTGCAGAAGCATTTACTTCTGCAGCAAATGCAACATTCACTCTCATTAAGACCCTTGATATGATCTTGGAAGTCTCTTTTATGAAAAGATGGACTATTTCTCTGTACTGAGAGATGCTTGGACCTGGCCACTCGCAGTTACTGTACCATAAATACTGTGCATGCTATGATTTAGCAACATTAACATCAAAAGCCGAAATGCTTTAAATGTCACTTTAGTTGGAACAAAATAATGGGTCAAAATGGGAATTCAATATGAGCTAAAGGCATTTCTAGTGGTGCGTGGAAAACTGTTTACCACTCTGAATAAATTAATACTTTGAAGGACAATCAATGAAGCAAGTTTGCCATAAACAAGTTAGTTTTACAACAGAAAGTGAAATATCAATTCGTTTAAAGCAAGACATGATGAAATGTTGCAACATGCCACTAAAATAAATATACCACCAGAAACTCAAAAGCAGATAAATAATTGAGTGTGTCTGTCATATCAATTTGAAATGGTTCGAGTGCAAGAAACCAGAAGTCAGAAATTTCACCAAAATGAAACAGAATTTCACTTTGAAATGAACCTCTCTCAATATTTTTTATTTTTTTTATTCATGATACTAGAGAAAATAAATTGAGTATGTAAATGAAAAAGAGCATGTGTTATGGTTGATGGTGGAGGCAATGCAACCAGCTCAGATGAAAATCATATATTGGAAATTGATAGATTTAATAATTTACCGTGTGTGTGTGTGCAGGCTGACTTACTTTTGGGGACACAATTCAGACTAAAGACCAACTTGGAAATTGTTGAGTCAGTGGTTAGGGTTAGGGTTAGTCAAAAAGTAGTTATGGTTAAGTCTTCAGGAAATTAATGAATGTAAACGACCCCAAAAGTGTGCGTGTGTGTGTTGCAGGGCTGGCTCTGCAGATTCAGTGCTACCAGTGTGAGGAGATGACACACGACTGCTCCACACCAGAGTTCATCGTCAACTGCACAGTGAACGTGCAGGACATGTGCCAGAAGGAGGTTTTGGTGAAAGATGATGGTAAGTCACATCTCTAGGATTGTTTGTTCCTTCTCTCTACTGTTACAAATATCTTCATCTCTGCTTATTTTTTCTGTCTGGATATCTCAGAGCAGAACAGACAGATTGGCCTTAATCCAAGAACATTGGATTAGATCTTGGTGGTGATTTGAATTTGGGATTTTTGAATTGAGGAAATGAATCTGAAGAGTATGCATTAAATAAATATAGCTTCAAACTAAACTGATAGTGATGTTTGTATGTGGAAAATGGGGCAGTGTTGTACTTGTACATTCATCTTTGTGAGCACACTTTTAGAAAGTGAGCACCTTTTAGTCAGTCCTCAGTTCTTCAAAGGTCTGTTTGAGTTTGGGTTCAAACTTGGTTATAACGAGGGACTTGTCACTTGATTGGCGTTTACAGCTGCCAATAGCACTGAGAGTGTGATACACCCCCACTGCTATGCAGCTAGTGCTATGAGCTAGCATCAGCGTCTACTTTCCAGTGCAAACAGCTGGGTTAGGGTTAGACCATCTTTTATATGTCGATGAGCCAGACCCAAGATTGAACACAAGCTCCAAGACCGACAGTGCCAGTGCAACATGGAAAACAGGGGACCGAGGTGGTTTTCTTGCCAGATTTGGCTCCTGGATAACAGCAGTTCGCTACTTCTTTCCACCAGAAAGCTCTGTAAATGACATTGGTACTGTAACATTATTCTCTGTTGGTCTTGGAAGCTGTTCGATCCCCATTTGGTCCGGCTGCTGAGCCCGGTTCCGTAACCCACTAATGGTAGATACAGTTAGCTCTAACTACTTGTTAAAGTAGCTCACCGCTAATTAACTGCTGCTATCAGTCCATCAGGAAACTCAGTTCAAGCTGAGCAGTCAGAGGACATCCAGAAAAAAAATGTTCTCCATCAAATATGATCCAGTTTCACCAAAATCAGTGAAAGAAGTAACGCTTTTGTACAGTAATCAGTGAGGCACAGACTTGTATCATACATTTACAACAATTAGATTTAGGCTAATGGTTGGGGTTAGGGATTTAGTTGTGAAGGTTAGGGTAAGAAACTGAGGAATGCATTATGTCAAGAGTCCTCACAAAGATAGAAGTACAAGGTTTTGTGTTTGTGGGCATGATTAGTTTGTATTCTGCAATCACAGCATCAGGGTGTGCATTGTATTGCTCAGGCAGTTGTATTTTCTGAATCAATGGATGTTGTCATGTTTCTCAACAAAAAGACAGCAAGGAAAATGCTGCTGTTTATATTGCTGGCATGTTTGAAGTATCTGTTAACACAAAAAATCAGCACAAAGAGGGAGAGCTCTCCAGCATACTCAGCCAGAAGACAGGCTCTCTGTTGTGTGCTGATCTAAGGCCAGCAGGGCAGACCCTTCAGTGCTCTATAACTATCATTAGAGGATGAAAGTCTTAGCTGTATGTCAGTATTTGAAACAGAAGTCATGGATATAAACTATTCCATTTCCTTTCGAAGAGAAAATGTATCAGATCATACTGTGCGTACAATTGCAGGTATGTGTCCTTTGTGTGTGTTCATGTCCTTACAAAAACCTCAAATCCTGTCCAGCCCAGCCAGTGAAATAGAGTAACATCACAGTTTGAGGTAATGTAGAAACAGTGTCACCATTACCGCACTGCAGGGAGGTCATATTCTTGGTATGTTTTCAGGAATTTCTGGGATTTTAGTAACATACGGGCATTATATTACAGTTAAATTCTAGTTATTTCACTAGCAATAATCAATAATTTGATACTAACAATGGACTAAATCAAATGTAAAATGGGTTGCTTGTGGTGACTCACAGTTCATTTCCAGTTCCCATCAGATCTACAGAGCTTTTTTGTGACTTTCAGCTCATTGTTTTGGTTTTTACGGCCGGCAACTTTATTGTTGTACACTTCTCATTAACCTAATTTCTCTAAACTCTGAAAATATAGTAATAAAATATTGTAACACTAGACAGACAAAGTTAGCAACTAGCTGTTGAACATAGATGATTTAGCAGCAAGAATTAAATATTTTTACTTAATGTTTTTTTTTTACAGCAAAACAGCTAAAAGAAACCTGAATATTGTAATTGCACTGAACTGTGTGATAGCACGTTAGCCATAACAACTTTATATGACTATAACACGTCAATGTTGTGTTTTCATCTTGTTATGGTGTTCCCAAGTGACCAAAAAGTCAATTAATGCGGTCTGAAATGTGACTTAAAAATTTGAAAGAAATTTTGATAACAGAACATTTTGATCTGCTGATGGCGCTATGTGAAAAGTCAGGGGATCACCAAGGTCAGTAGGATTCATCCTCTGGGTACAATGAATGTCTGGCCAGCTGATATTGCTATTGCTTTCTAAGAGCCACAATGAATACAGGCTGATACAACTTTGGATATCAGTCGGGCTCTGGAAAGACAACCACAACCAAACTGAACAGATTCCAAATCCAAAAATTCCAGCTCATTCTCATTTCCGGGGCATCAAACACCAGCGTTTTGTCACGCCCCTGGGCATCTCACAGATGCACAAGTTTAGCGTTTGTATAAGACACATGGTATTCAACTCTAGTGTTTAAATGGATGGACAATCTGAAAAGAGAATGTGTTTGTTTGTGTTTGGATATTTAAGACATTTATGTAAGTGAATTGTCCTTTGCTACTTAAGCTCAAAGTGTTAAGCACAATGAAGCAATGAGCACCTGTCCAGTCTGGCTGTGGGAAGTTAATTATCTACCTGAGGTGTTGTTCTGTTTCATATTGAGCTTCTTTGCAACTGTTCAAGACAGAGTCGAGAAAGAAAAAAACAGCACCATTTGTTGTAGATTATAGAGTGCAGAGGCGATGTTTGAATGGTTTGCAAGGCCAAATCCTCTGTGTGAAAGATTTAGAATAGACATATGGTACAGTAATTACTTTCCTATATTTGAAAAACAACATCATTAACTGCTTATTAGCTGCTGTCTTTTACATTCATTCAGTCACATTGCTTTTGTTTAGTGCACATAAGTTCATCTTATTCGGTAAAGATCTATAACCTCTATGCATCCAGGTTGGAATATGGAGAAAATCTGAAGCTTAATGTTAACAGATTTTTAAGTATGGGGTATTCAGCGTCTGCATGTGCCTTTTTAGTGAAGAATAATGTGCCTCTGCTGTGTTTATGTGCCTCTTTGCTGTAGGTTGTAAGAACTGAGACACTAAAGGTCACTCTTATGCCCGGGGTCTACTTCGTTTTCACACCCAGCAAAAATGTCCTTCCCTTCTCTCTACTGCTGATGAGCAAAAGCAATAAGCTCCTGTCTTTGGAAATGTGGTTCCCAATCCAAAAGGGCAGGCACCGGCTCTATGGAGTCGACAGTTCTTTAATAAGAAAATTTCCGCATGAATGCTCATGTACATCCCAGCCTTTATCTCCCAGTGTTATCGTTATTGCTGCTCTGCATGAAAAGGAGGGCTTAGAAATTCAACTGACCACACCTTATCGCTGTTTGAAATGCAATAGATACATTCACAATTGCACTGCCACCTCTGTGCAATGTGCTTAAGTGATAAGAATAAAAATCAGTGGGGCTGTTGGATTCTTTCTAAGTATACTTGCCCTATGATTGCCGCTATAAGCCTGTGACTTTGCATATAGTAGCCCTGTAATGTAGATGTAAAGGAAGAAGAACATACTGTATTTTCTGTCTCCTTGCTTAAAGATTAGTCCTTCTGCATGCTGGAGGGCGTTATACAATCCATCTCCCTCAACTGAGCTCTCCAGCTGAGAAATGGGCTGGCTGGAAGAACGTTGAGGTGTCGCTCAAGAGTGAAAATCCTCCAAGAGTAGAGAGACACACATGCACAACCTCCACTCAGATCATGGCTACTTTTTCAGCCGGGCAGCATAAAATAAGCCTGGCTTCCTATCCAAGCACATCTTCTATTACTATCATCATCAGTCCCCTCTGATTATGTCTGGAGAAATTACAAAAGAGTGTGCTTTTACCTCGCTGACGACCGTTCCTCTCCCAGTGTCTTTAAAGGAGGGATGATTGCCACGCTCCAGCAGGCCATCTCTCATTTCAATGTCCTCTGCCCTTCTTTTTTAGATGAGGGGTAGTAAGATGTACTGTGATGAGGGATGTGAAATTGGCCTCCCTTCAATTTCTCAGAGGTAATTTTCAAGGGACAGTGACTAAATTAATGTAATAACACACAAACACACACCAAAAAAGCACGAGTTTGCTGTAATCATTTTGCAGCTTATATTGTATAATATTTTTATGTTTGCAATGGATCAAATGACGTGTGATGTGTGTATGTGTGTATGTGTGTCATGCCACAGATAATTATACCTCAACTCTGCAGCTTCCCACAGCACAATGAAGAGTTTTAGAGTCTTTCAGCTCATTTTTTGGGTTTTTCTAGCCCACAAATGTACTGTTTGCTTCAGTCTCACAGCTCCCCTCAACTGCATCAGAACATAGCATCAGTTATATCAGAACTGGAGAGTATTTCTTCATTGACAGGAGAGCAAAGAACGGCACTGAAGGCTTCTCTCAATGGAAAAGATGCTTTTGCTCTTCTCCTGACTGGCTTTGGTAAAAGATTTGGGTTTGTTAATCTGATTGGTTGAAGTTTGCTCATGGTAGACAGTGATAGATGGTGACAAACCATCTGGCGCAGTCAGGTTAAGCAGCAACATCATCACAAGCACTGTCCCAGAATGTTATGGTAAGGAAGCAAAGGAAAACACACAGTTAGTTAGATCGACGATTAACTGGAGAGAACTCTACCTCCTTGAGCAGCAAGAGCAACGCTATCTGATATCTTCATGATTCTATAGTGAACCAACTGCCTGTCCCCCAAACACTGCCTTACATAAATGTTTGACGTCATACAGATGAGTATGCCACAGCTGCTGTCTGTCATTGCAGTCTCTTCCACGGTTTGTTTTCACACTGAAAATGTTAAATCGCCACAGTATGCACGGTGGCAGCGCACTGAGTGGAGCAT